GACTGAAAAAATATTTGGGAGCATTTATCTAATCCTTAAAAGATTTAGCTATAGCCCCAGCTGGCCTGGAACTCACTATGTAGACCAGGCTGGTCTCAAACTCACAGAGACCCACCTGCCTCTGCCTCTTGAGTGCTGGGATTAAAGGTGTGCACTACCACACCTGGCATTTGTTTTCCTGACAATACAAACGGTGCTGCATGGCATAAGGAACAATGTCTTGAAGATGGCTACACATGAGAAACTTTGTCTTATGGCCAGTCCTTGAATCAGTCCTTCCTGAACACTAACGGATTGTCATTCTTGGCTCAGTAAAGTCAACGTGACTCCACTGCAGTTGAGACACAGAGCTGTTTGACATCAACCATCAGGTTGGAAGTGAATGCATTGCTAGCGGAATAAGTGAGACACATGCTTGTGTTTCCTGAACGCACAGGGCTCTTGGTATTGTCCTAATTTAAATCAATTCAAAATTATACTTTCAGGGACTGAGGACATAGCCCAGTGTGAGAACTACTGTAAATCCCTAAGATTCATCCATAACACTGACACTGAAAAACAGGCAGAGAGACAAGACAGACAGATAGATATATACATATCTGGGGTGTGTGTGTGTGTGTGTGTGTGTGTGTGTGTGTGTGTGTGTCCAAAACACCAGAAAAGAATTACAATTTCTGACAGGAATCCATATTACAAAATGCATATGGTTTGGATTTGGGCATGAGGTTTTGGGGTAAGCTTTAAATTATGTGTAATTTTTAAACATTCATATATGTGGACATTTCTGCATCTTGATAATTAAGAAGAAATAGTTCAGGGACTAGGGGTTAGAATTACAATTTCTGACAGGAATCCATATTACAAAATGCATATGGTTTGGATTTGGGCATGAGGTTTTGGGGCAAACTTTCAATTATGTGTAAATTTTAAACATTCATATATGTGGACATTTCTGCATCTTGATAATTAAGAAGAAATAGTTCAGGGACTAGGGGTTAGTGATACCTCTAATGGTTCCCGCAGCCTTGAGTAAGTAACAGCTAATGTCTCTGAGGTGTGCTTCCTCATCTCCAAGCTAGGCGATTCAACCATATTCACATCTTGATAATGAAGAAGAAATAGTTCAGGGACTGGGGGTTAGTGATACCTCTAATGGTTCCCGCAGCCTTGAGTAAGTAACAGATAACTGTCTCTGAGGTGTGCTTCCTCATCTCCAAGCTAGGCGATTCAACCATATTCCAGATATTCAGATCTAACTCACCCACTAATCTTATGAATGTGAAATATCTCAAGGTGTCATTTGCCAGTGAAGTTTGTCTTACCAGGATTATATCTGGGTCTTCATCGCTAGTTTCAACTTCAGTCAGCACCTTGCTTTCCTGTACAAGGTGCACACTCTGCCTCCTTTCCGTTTCTAAAGAAGAGACCTAAAGTAGTAACAAAATTTATTTAAGAAGTAGTATTAATCAATGGTACACAGTAAACCAGCTTCACTCATTATTTCATGGAATCCGTTTCCTGATCTTCCCCCTGCCAATCAATCCCTCCTAAAATGGTTTCTGCTCTCTTCAGTCCAACAGCAGCAGCAACAAAGTCTCCTGAGATCATTTCTACCACCTCTCAGTTTCATTACATCAGAGGCCATTCTTCAGGCCTGCAGAATCACCCTTGATCACCCTTGATCACCCTCTTGATCACCTCTTTGGACTCTCCTTATTCCCTACTTGGACAGAATGATAAATTCCTGGGTTTTCTCCTTACAGTCAAACAATTCCTTCACAGTCTGTGCACAGTCATCTTCTCAGCATCCAGTTTCTGACCAGTCCTTTTCTTCTTACACTTGATCCTTACTCATACTAAGGTGTGTAAGATCCTTATAGTTCCTGTTTAAACCTCAACTCCAAGTCGAGATTCATATATGTGATGACTTACCTGAGTTTTCCCCCTTGAAAGCCTCACAATGTAAGATGAGCTCATGATCCTCTCCACTGGCCAGTCACCTTCTAAGACTCCCTATTTCAATGGATGCCTGCTGAAAAACTTTCTGATGTCATTGGTCTTCTGCACTGTCCTGAGATTCAAATGTCTCTTGGTGATGTGTTACACCAGAAGGTACCTCCAAGGCCACCCTTCCAAAACTGAATCTCTTATTTTCCCCACACTTCCTCATGTGACCTCTCCTGACAGATGTATCTCTGTGCTGGATAGCTTTACTGTCAACTTGACACACCTGGTTGAGGGAGCCTCAATTGGGGAATTTCCTCTATTGGACTGGCCTGTGGCCATGTCTGAGGGGCATCTTCTTGATGACTCATATGGGAGAGTCCAGCCCACTGTGGGTGGTGCCACCCCTGGGCAGGTGGGCCTACATTGCATAAGAAAGCAGGTATATTGTCAATAAGTGCCAAGTGACTACACAACCTGAGATTGCTCTGTCTAGTAACTGTTCTTCTATACTTAGCCACACTAACCTTTCTAAAGGAAAGTCTGGCCACACAAATCTTCTACATGAAAAACTTCCTTGGATCCCCATTGCCTTTAGGGTAAATGCCTACACAACCTGAGATTGCTCTGTCTTGTAACTGTTCTTCTATACTTAGCCACACTAACCTTTCTAAAGGAAAGTCTGGCCACACAAATCTTCTACATGAAAAACTTCCTTGGATCCCCATTGCCTTTAGGGTAAATGCAACTCCTGCCCCCAAGGACCTACATGATTGTCATTCCCATGCATAAGATACCCCTGCTCTTTCCATTCCTATGTGTGACCATCCTTGTACTCTTACTTTGGGGACTTCCTTGGTTCTTCTGTAGCAAACATTGTTTGCATCACTTGAAAATGTTCTGCCTCTCCTGTTATCAATTTAAGACTTTTTGAGAAAGAAAAGACCTTTTTTTCTTTTGAGAGAGAGGAGAGAGAGAGAGACCTACATGATTGTCATTCCCATGCATAAGATACCCCTGCTCTTTCCATTCCTATGTGTGACCATCCTTGTACTCTTACTTTGGGGACTTCCTTGGTTCTTCTGTAGCAAACATTGTTTGCATCACTTGAAAATGTTCTGCCTCTCCTGTTATCAATTTAAGACTTTTT